CCACCAGCTCCTGGCATAGGGCTGAACACTTACTTGAGGGAAGACCCTAGCAAATGCTGGATAGATGGATGGATGTGTAAGGGTGGATGGGTGGATAGATGGATGAATGGATGGGCAGATAGACGATGGATGGATGGTAGATGGATGATGGATAGGTAGATGATAGATGATGAATAAATGGATGGGTGGGGGTAGATGGATGTGTGGATGGAGAGATAGACGGATGGGTGGACAGATGGGGGTGGATGGATGGATAGATGGGTCGTTGGGAGAATAGATGGGTAAATGAATGGATGGATGGATGGATGGATAGATGAACAGATAAACGGATGGATGGATGGATGGATTAATGGTGGATGGATGGATTAATGGTGGATGGATGGGTGGGTAGATGGATGGGGGATGGGCAGATAGCTGGATGGTCCCCCAGAAATAACCTGGCCTTGGGAGCTCCCTCTTCAGGACCCTGGTCTCAGGAGAGAGGTCTGAGGGGCAGAGGTGGCCAAGGTGGGCTGGGACAGGTGCCTACAGTGGAGCTGCGAGCGTAGACCACTGAACCCTCACTCACCACCAATCTTGTACACGTCCTGCAATGGCAGACGCAGGGGCTTATCCGTGGGACGTGTGGGGGGCAGGATTGTGTCCAGGGCCTCCAGCAGGGACACACCGCTGGCATTCCCTTCCTTACGCTCCACTTTCCAGCCCTTGAACCACGGCATCTGGACAGGAGGAAGAAAGCACCAATCATAGAGACCACAGCGCCCACCCTACCCTGCCCAACAGCCCCACGGCCTCCCCAGGACTCTCCAGGAATCCTGGTGAAGGCATCTGACCTGAGGAGGGTCTGGGGGGCAGGGGAGCACAGACCCACCCCCTCCACTGCCTAATGTCTGACTGTTCACACTAAGTCGCTTCATGCCCATTGAAAAGCTGAAGTGCCCCCTCCCCCCCCCAGTCCACACTCCCAACATCACAGAGACCCTGGGGAAGGAAGGCAGGCACAAAGAAGCAGAGCCCCGCCGCAGCCCAGACTGCTCGGGCCAGGGGCTCGGGCTGGGGCTCAGACGGAGGGTGATCCTGATGCTTCGGAACCAACATCCCGTGTAGAGTCCAGCCCAGCCCTCCTCCCCGCAGCCCCAGGCCCCGAGCCTCAGATCCCTGGGCAGGACAAGCATCAGAGCAGGAGGGGACAGAGTCCAGCCGATGGCCCGGCCAGAGGCACACAGAGTCCAGTCTTGGCCCCAGAAGACCACTGTGCCGGCCACAGACGAGGAGAAGGGAAGGGGCTAGCAGCACTGTGCCCAGGTCCACTCCCAGGGACCGTGTCCTCTGGACAGCCCAGATCAACAGGGGTCCAAAAATTCAGGCTCCACTCATCACCCCCTGCCGAGTCAGAGTCCCTGGGACGCAGGCCACCAGAGCCACAAGCTTCCCAATGGAGCAGCGAGAACCAGCCCTTGGCCCTTCCCAGAGCCCCACCCGCTCAGGGCCCCCGGGAGGCTCCTGCAGGAGACAAAAACTAACCGCAGCAGAGCCCCCAGAGTTGGGTCACGTGGGCCTGGGCCCCAGGGACCACTGCCCCTGCACCGTCCACCTGTGGTGAGTGTCCCTGCCAGAAAAGGGGCCTCAGAGGCCGTGCCGGCCTCGTGGGGAGGCCAAGCTGAGGGGCGGCCCCGAGGAGGCTGGGGCTCCTCGCCAGGCTAGTACCCATGCTCATATAGGTCAAAGGAGCCCAGCAGGGCCGAGGGGAGCCCGCCTTGACCCTGCCTGACCAGAGATCCAGTGCCTGGGGCCCAGGGAGGGGTCCACCTGCCATGCCCGCCCGTCGCAGCACTCACATTGGGTGAGGGCTCCAGCATGTTGTCACCGTGCCAGCCTGAGATGGGCACGAAGGGCACGGTGGCGGGGTTGTAGCCGATCTTCTTGATGTAGGCGCTGACCTCCTTGACAATCTCGTCGTAGCGCTTCTCACTGTAGGCAGGCTCCGTGGAGTCCATCTTGTTGACCCCCACGATGAGCTGCTTCACGCCCAGCGTGTAGGCCAGCAGCGCATGCTCCCGCGTCTGCCCGTTCTTGGAGATGCCCGCCTCGAACTCGCCCACTCCCGCCGCCACAATCAGCACCGCACAGTCCGCCTGCCCGGGACGTGTGGCACAGTGAGCCCCAGACCCCGCCTCGCCCCCACTCCAGGCAGCAGACAGGGGCCTGAGCAGTCACCCGGGGATGGGACCTGGAGGTCTGGACCTTAGAGGCTGCTGCGGGAGCTCATCCATCTGTCTGTGTCAATGCCTGGCAAAGTCTGATTGTCTGAGTCTGTCTGTCTTTATTTCTGCCCACACCTTGGTGCCCCATCCTGGCCTCTGTGTCTGTCTGTCTGCGAAGGTGGCCCTGACAGTGTTGGCTGTCCTTACAGGCACCCCCACCTGGCTGAGATGCCAGGCACTTAGTCAGTAATTTGGGGGCTCTGCTCCAGGTGGGGCAAATGGTGACAAAGGTGAGGACCTCCTGCCCTGGCGAGGAAGCAGAGGAGACCAGCTACCCTGCGATGGCTCCGGGTCCAGGGGCCCTGACTGGGTGCCCTGCGGGCCCACTCACCTGGGAGGTGCCGGTGATCATGTTCTTGATGAAGTCGCGGTGGCCAGGGGCGTCAATGATGGTGATATAGTACTTGGTGGTCTCGAACTTCCAGAGGGAGATGTCAATGGTGATGCCACGCTCCCGCTCCGCCTTCAGTTTGTCCAGCACCCAGGCATACTTGAAGGAGCCCTTTCCCATCTGGAGGGGTGGGGCACAGCTCAGGACAAGACCGGGACTCAGCCAGCCTGGCCAGCGGGTGCCCCTGGGCTGTGGGAGCCGCAGGTCACAGTAGAGAGGCCCAGGCGCAAGGCAGGAGAGGGCCCCAGGCCCCCTTGCTCCCAGCTGGGACCCTGTGACTCTGGGCCCATCTCTGGAATGAAGCAGCCGGACGCAAGGACCCCTGAGGGACATCCAGACCTCCACCCTGCCCTGCCCAGCCCTGCCATCCTGTCTCCCCAGGTCCAGCCTCTCACCGCCTAAGTGGGTGCCACTGCGCATCCACCAGCAGGTGGCGCAAGGGCCTGGGAGCGGGTCTTACAACGAAGCGCCAGAAGCTTTAAACCCCTCCCCTGGCTGATGGCTCCCCTTTATCTGAAGCCGGGGCGCCCCCATCCCTGCTTCAGCCACTGGGGTTCAGGCTGTCAGAACAAAAAAACCCTCTGTGATTTTATTTTTAAGGGAAAAAGAAAGAGGATGAGGTTGCAAGGAAGGGCCTGGCCTTCCAGCTCTTTCTACAGCCGCCAAGGCTGCCAAGCAGCTCTCAGCCCCTCCCCCCTACCTCGCCCCACCTGAGCCGGAGCAGCTGCTCTCTGCAAACACCTGTGCCCAGCGCCCCGCGAGACCCCCTACCTGGGGCCAGGGCTGCCATTATGGCTGCCCAGCAGGGCAAAGCTCCCCACCAGGGCCGTGCACAGATGGGGCTCTGCCCTCCAGGAGGGGCCACCCAGACAGGACCCAGACAGGACCCAGCTAGACCCAAAACAGACACTGTGCAAACACCCTCAGCCCCCCTCCTCCCGCCCCACAGGGAGGGATGACGCAGCTTTGGGGCCCCGGCGCAGAGGAGGTAGCTCAGAGCACCCCACCTTCCCCCTTTCTCCCTGAGCAGGGTTCAGCCCAGGCCAGCAACGGGCTCCTCCCGGGCCCTGGCCACAGCCCCTCTGTCCTCAGGTGGAGGCAGAGGTCGCAGAGAGCAGACCCCCACTCCACAGCCACTTATCACCAAGGGTCTCAGTCAGGGGAGGTCAGCCCACCTGGCCCCTCTCATCCGCACCAGGCAACCAGGAACCCCCGAAGGGTACCACCCTGGACAAGCAGCCCTCTCCAGCCCGGCACGAGAAAGTACAGCTGAAGGCCCCGTGCCCATCAGTCCGCTATTAATAGCCGCCCTGAGTCCTGGCCCAGCCCTGGGACAAGTGAGGGCAGCGCCACCTCCAGCCCCAGACCTCAGTCCTAGGAACACAGGAACCCGACCCTGGGGGTGCAAAGACAGGCTGCAGGGCTCTCAAGTCCAATGTGGCAGAGTCCCCGAGCCTGCTGTGCACCTGTGCAGCAGAAATGCTGCCTCCAGGCCACTCTCCCACTCTGGGGCAAATCCAGCAGGCCATCCCACCGCCACCCACCAAGCACATCTGCAGAGAGAGGACGCTCCCCACCACACCACTCCCATCGGGACCCTCGGAGATACCTGTCCCTCAGGAAGGGGCCCCTAGGGCCCACGCCCCTCTTGCCCTGAGCCACATGCCCCAGAGCTGGATAAGTGCCAGCCCAGCCACCACATGGGAAACCGTCCTCACGGTGGAGGCAAAGGTGTGAGCCCCCCCAGGGCTCACCTCGGCTGCCTCCTTCTCAAACTTCTCAATGGTCCTCTTGTCGATGCCCCCACATTTGTAGATGAGGTGGCCTGTTGTGGTGGATTTGCCGGAGTCCACGTGGCCAATGACCACGATGTTGATGTGGGTCTTCTCCTTGCCCATTCTGCCCGGGCTGCGGGGAGGGGCTGGCACGGCCTGGGGTGCTCTGGCTCAGGACGAGGGGGATGCTGAGCAGTGATTCTGTGGGTCGGGGCAGGCGGACAGGTAACAGAGAGCCTCAGAGGGAAGCCCAGCAGAGACACTCCCTGCCGAGGTCGAGAGCACATGCCTGCCCGCAGACGCGGGCCCCATGGCTGGGGACAAGTCCCCACTCTTGGTGGGGAGGGAAGAGCCCCCCAGCCTGTGCCCGGCCCAGCCGAGACAGGTGGCAAGCCCAAACAGCCCAATCTGCCATAAACGTCTGGGAGTCATGCCCCCAGAGCCCCCTCCAGGGAAGGAGATTAACCCCCATCTGGAAAGACCGAGAAGCATGAGGCTGGGGGAGCCCCATGACCAGTCAGGAGCCTGGTGATGACTCACCCTGCCCAGCTCTCCATTGCTCTGTCCCCGATGCTCCCCGACCCGGAGTCCTGGGCCAGGACGCTGCACCCTACCCCACCCCCACCCACAGAGCTGCCATGGTGGAGAGACGGTCAGTGCTCCCCATTCCCCTCCTCAAGCAGCGAGGGCGCCATCTTCCTCTCATCCCTGCCTGGCAGGCTGGCACTGGGGAGACAGGCTGGGCCAGAGCTCCGACAGGGCAATGCAGTGCTGGGATCAGGGACCCAGAATAGCTCAGGTCCTCCCCAGATCTGGGCAGGGGGCAGACAGCAGGGCAGAGAGGTGGGGGGTCTCTGCTCTGTCCAGAGGAGAGAGAATCTGGCCCCAGCAGCCGAGCTCAGCAGGTCCCAGACAGGGATGCTCTCAGCCTGGTGGGGACAGGGGGGCACCCCTCCCCCTTCCCTCTGGTCAGGGCCCAGATTCACAGCCCCTGCCCCATCCTGGAGGTCCCTGGCGAAACCAAGGCAGCACAGGAGGGGACAGGTGGCTGGGGGAGGGAAAGTGGGCACCAGCGTCGCACCCTACGGTGCGAACACCAGGTGGACACCGCTGGACCGACTCTGGGTGGGGGCGGGGTGGCGAGGGCCCCCCAGATCTCACCGACTCCCTGTCCCCAGCTCCGTCTCCCGGGCACCCCCAGTGGCTGCAACCCACCAGCCGCCAGTACTGACGACCCTGCCCCAACCCCGCAGAGCTCCGGGCGGTCCCAAGGTCACCGCTGCAGGGCGATCGCCGCCGCTCAGGAGACCGGCTCCGCTGCCGCCGCTGCCGTGTAAACAAGGGCCACCGCGGTGCCCCCACCCCACCCCTGCCGCCCGCAGGGACCGACCCCGGTGCCAGGTCCGGGCGCAAGGCGTGGGTGGCTGATCCCCGCGGCGAGCAGTGCAGCCTCCCTGGGCGCCGGGGCCGGGTGCCTCTCTGCCTCCAGGATCTGTCCCCGGGGAAGGAACCCTCTGCGGAAAGCTGGAGGCAGCGGCGGGGACCCAGAGGCCGAGCGTCCTTACCCAGAGCCGAGGTCTCAGCCAGAGGGACTGGTGGCGCCGGCGCCGCCGGTTTTATCTCTCCAGGAGGGGGTCCACCTATTGACGGAGCGAGCGCAATGCACTGCGCCCCTGCAGTACGGCATTGCGGTACCGGCGGGCGGGGCCGGGGGCGGGGATGCGAGGGAGGCAGGGAGACGGGGACGGCGACCCGCGGACGCGCGCGGGCGCGACGGGGACGCGAGAGGAGGATGCGGCGAGGGAGGGAGCTACAAAGGCGCGGAGACGAGACGCACCCGGAGGGAGCGCAGGCAGAGACAGAAAAACAGGCGGAGGCGGGCGGGGGGCGGGGGGCGGGGGGCGGAGGGCTGGGGGCCTGGAGAAGGAGGCCGGAAGGAGGGAGGGGCAGAGATGGAGAAAGGCACCAGGAGAGAAACTCAGGAGAGACGGAGCACAGCTAAAGCAGAGACTGAGAGGCCAGGCCCAGGCACACTCGGAGAGAACAGGGGTGGAGAGAGGACGGAAAGACCCTCCAAACATAAAAGCAGGTCCCCGGGGACGGGGCCAGTCTGCAGGGCCGGGAAATGGGCAAGTGAGGCAGAGGGGGTGTGGGTCAGGCCCACACGGCCGTCCTAGCCGGCATCTCCCAGAGCTGGGCCTGGCCCTGCGTGTCGCTGGTGCCCTGTGAACAAACGCAGCTGTACTCTGTGGGTCTCCTTGATGTGGCTCAAGGGGTGCAGCCCTCCCGGTAGGACCCAGAATCTGCTTGCTTCAAGGCCCTGGCCCCCAGGTGCCTGCCACATGGGCTCACCCCAGCAGGCCCCCAAAACCAGGCTTCTCCTCACCTGGCCCATGGTGTGGCCAGAGAAGGGTGCCTCCAGGGTCCCCTCAGCTTGGCCAAATGGCCTGAGGCTCTGCCAGCAGATCCACCCAGATCATCCTCCCTCTGAGGCCCCTACAAAGGGCTGTTTTCCACCCTGAGCCCCTCTCGTGTGGGGAACAGCTGAAGTGTGTCCCCAGAATGCCCGGATACCGAGGGTGGCCCTAGGTACACTATGGGCACGGATTCCCAGGCAAGCAGAATTTGCCCCAGGTCAGCTCCCAGGCACAGTTCCAGTCTGTGGCCCTGGGGCCTCCCCTCATCCTGGGCCTGGTGGGGTCAGAGGGTGGAGCCACAGACAGCCCTGCTCTGCAGGAAGTGGGGGTCCCTGAGGGTCCCGGGCAGACCAGGGTAATGACTAAACTGGGTTTTAAGGAGGGGAATGGAGCAGCGGTGTGTTGTGTGAGGCCCTGGGACCTCTGACCTTGTCAGTTCACCCGTTATCACAATTCCCCATGGCCGTCTCCCCATCTGGCTTGGATCCCAAGGACATGTGGGTCTTATTCATCTTTGTGACCCAGGGTCCAGGAGAAGGTGGGCAGGGTCTCAAGAAACCTGTGTTGAGTGGGTGAGAGAGGAAGCCAGCATGCAGCACCTCCTGCTGGGGTGACGCCCGATGGAGGCCCCCAGAGATGGGACCCCCAGCGGGGCAGGAGTAGAGGGGGGCCCAGGGCAGTGTTTGGGGCCAAGCAGGTCTCCCCAGCCCATGAGGAGGGTCTCAGGGAGGGAACGAGCCCTCCCTGTGTCTGCCCAGGACCAAGGTTGGCACCCACAGACCAAGGGACTCAGAGCCGTCCCGGGCAGGGAGGGGCTCGAGGATGACCTGGCACTTTGGAGTGCTGCTGATACCGTCAAACAGGAGCCAGGAATTAAAAATAACCGCCTGGCGAGAAAGCAAGACTCACCCCACCCCTGCCCAGCTGGTCTCTATATTTAATGCGTCCTGTCCTGCCTGAAGGTTAGGTGGGATTTGGGAGACGCTGTGACTGGCCAAGGCTGGGATGGGCGAGACCAAAGGGCAGGAGGCTAGGGTCCCTGGGGATGCCCACCCCGACGTCCCCCAAGGAACCACGAACGCCCAGGACCCTGGGCTGCGTGCAGCCTCAGAGGGTGTTTGTCAGACACACCGCACAGGTCTGAGCCTCACCCTCCGCTCCTGGCTCCCCCACAGCTGTCAGCTGCCTGGAACCAGATCACGGTGAGGTGCCTGCACCAGGGGCCGGCCGTGCTGGGAGGCCTGCTGCCCAGAGCCGCAGCCACTGCTGGTGGAAGGTGGCGTCCTCCCCAGGGCCTGCACACCGACCCTGGGAGGGTCTCAGCTGGTTTCTCCAAAGAGCCCCATGTCCCCAGGATGCGCTCTGTTACCTCACGGCCGAGCTGCGCCGAGGCCCTGGAGCCCGGGACGCGGCCATCTGGAGAGGTGTCTCGCTGAGCAGCAGCATGGGACTGCCACAGCGGCTACCCCCTGCAGAGGGCCAGGCAACTGCTGGACTACTGCTAACTACTGAACGGTGCTTAACGACCACTGACCACTGGTTAGTCCTTGATAAGCACTGAATGTTACGGGATAACCACTAACCACAGAATAGCACTGAATGACTAGGAAATGCTAACCAATACTAATGCCATGTGACGTACTGAACAGCCACAGTCGCCTAGTCTTGCGAGTTTACCATGTGCCAGGCAGGGCTACCAGGTAACCCGAGGACCCATGGACCAAGAGCCTACTGGGCACAGAGAGGCAGAGCACAGTGCCCAAGGTCACCAAGTAAGGAGGGCAGAGCTCGCAGTCCGCTTGGAAGGGCTGAGCCAGGGCAGTGTGACTTCTGGATGGAAGCCTGCCCAGGTCCCACTTGTGCTCCCCGCCCTTCCCCCCAGGTCAGGCTTGCCCCCCCAAGGCTCCCTTCTCCCACATCTGAGCCACTGGCCACAATGGCCCATGTTGCAGCCAAGGCCATGGGGGCAGGACAAACAAGGAAGGGTCACCAGCCAACCAGGTGGGGAGCTGGGCAGGAGGAAGGAGAACACGTCCCCCCAGCCCCCTCGTAGCGCCCCACCCCCCACCACCTGGCCCAGCCAGGAGCTGTTGGAGCTGTTCGGGAAGACACCGGCAGCCCCCTCTTTGGCTGGCTGGGGTTTCACGAGCCTGGAGAAAGAAGATCCAGCTAAAATTAACCATTATCAAGCTGTCAGCCCTGGAAATAAACCCGTTTCCCATTGGCTGCCGGTGATGTCACTGCCAGTTAATAATAACCTGTGAATGCGTAACTAACCACCTGTGTGTGTGCCTTCCTCTGGGGGGCCCCCTCCCGAGCAGGGGAGTGAGGGTGGGGGTAGGGGGCTGGCAACCCAGATGACCATGGAGATGGCAGCTTCAGGGCAGAGTGGGCACCAGGGCCCGGGGCACCCTCGGCATTGGGTGTCTCAGAATGACCACAGGCTGCCCTCTGACCCCAGGGCACTGGTGCGCACCCTCACGTCCATGGCAGTTGCATCTCGTCTCCCAGACAATCTGGGCAGCAGGACTCTGGATGGCCTCGGGGACAAGTTCCCCTCCCCCAGCTCTCTGAGCCGGGCACCCAGGGCACTGAGCTGCCCAGAAGGCTGCAAATTAATCAGTCTCCATGGCGAATAGGAGCTCTTACCTATGGAGCTTCTCCGGAAAAGCAAGGTCATAGGCCCTAAATCAGAGAAGCGGGCCCAGAGGGGCTGGGGTCCCGGGTGGGGCCAGGCCCAGCAGTTGTCATGGTGCTGGGGGGTGGGGGGTGCGGATGGGGCCTGGGCTCAGGTCCAGATGGGAGGTTGGCTGAGACGAGGGGTGGGGGGTCGGGCCACATGCACATCAGCTAGACCCCAAGGCCAGCCCAGGGCCTCACGAGCCGGCCAGCCCTGTGCTCGGTGCCGGGCCCAAGTGACAGGGGGAGCTGGGGTGACCGGACACTCCAGGCCCCCAAACACGCCACCCCACCAAACCCCGCGTGTCTGGGACGGTATGAGGCCGACCTGAGTCAGCCTGGGAAGGCGGGGCTCGGGGGAAGGCGCGGAGGGGACACAGCCCGCAGCGAGGGGGAGGGGCGGCCGCGGGAGCTGTCGCGGTGCCGCAGCGGCGCGGCCCGTTGCCATGGCGAGGGCGCAGGCAGCCCCGCGGGCTCCTCCCTCAAGGCCCTCGCTCCCAGCGGCGCGGTAGGTGGCACCTGCGCTCCGAAGGGCAGCCGGCTGCCAACGCCGGAGCTGGCCCCGGCCCCGCGCAAGCCCAGCGCCCACGGCTTCCGGGGAGCAGAGAGCCGCCGGCGGCGCTTTCCCTGCTGCGGTAGCGGGGGAGGGGGTCTGGGGCTTTGAGCTCTGCGCCGCACACAATCGGGGGCTCCAGCCTGACGCCAGGAGGAGGGAGTGGCCAAGGCCCCACCCCCCGATCCGTTTGGCCCATTGCAGGCTGGAAGGCCAACCAGAGAGCCCAGGGGAGCCGTCAGCGGCTAGGGGCCAAGAAGGGGCAGCCACTGCAATCCCCCCCAGCGACAGAGGAAAAACCCCGGGAGGGTCTGCAGGCCCCACTGCCGGCTCAAGTCAGTCGTCTCCAGGCCGGGTGGAAAGAGAGGCCAGGTGGGCATTTGCTGCGTCATGGGTTGCTCTTCTTTCTGCAGCTGGATCCAGGTTCCCCTGGGGGCTCACCGAAAGCAGAGCTGCCCTCCTGAGATCCTGGCCTCCAGTGGCAGCGGGAGAGTCCACAGTGCTCCCCCAGCCTCCCCACACCCAGTGGGGGCATCTCCAGGCTGGAATTGCCCTGGGGAACCTGAAGCTCTTTAGCAACTCGGAGCCCCTGCTTTCACCTCTTTGAATAGAGCTGGGCTGTTGGGAATAACCTGCCTCAACAGCTGGAGCCCTCGTGGGCATCTGTGGGATGAGCTGACACTGGAGGCTGCGGGCAGCACCATTCTCCCCACGGGTGGCAGAAACCCGGAGCCTCCCCTGCCCCAGGAGAGACTCTCCCCACACCTGCAAGACAGGAGCCTGGACCTCGGCTGGGGAAGGACCAGGGACTGAGGGGACAGTGCTCAGCCTTGTCCTTGAAGGTGCTGAGGGAAAAGTGCACAAATTACAAATGTGCTTGAGCACCCAGATCAAGAAACAGAGCACCCCCTCCTGCCCCGAGGGGACCGCTGCCCTGACTTCTCACACCCAAGGTCACTTTGCCTGCTTTTAGTCTTTGTGCAAATGGTAGACATGGCTTGTGCTCTTTGCTCTGGCTTCTTTCACTTGCCATTGTGTCTGCGCCGTTCATCCATGCTGCTGCACTGGGCGTCCGTTGTCTGTCTTCCCTGCGGTGCAGCGTGCCACTTCCAGTCTTGAGCTGCTACAGATAACGCTGCTGGGAGCCTCCTGTGCGTGTCACTTGTGCGAGTGTTTCTACTTGGCTTCCACCCTCAGGGGTAGAGCTTCGAGCCATGGGGTCTGTGCACCATGCCAGTCACTTGTTTACCGCCTCTTGCCTCTAAATTCAGCCTTCAATACCTGCTCTGTGATGATGAACAAAATTACTTTAAGCATTTCTCCGTTAGAACGAGCAGATCCATCTTTGCAGGGCAGGCAATGAAGTGTGAATTTACAGCTGAGAGGAAATTAATTGATAACTGACTTTTCCCCTTGACTCTGAGGATATTTTCCTATTTCTTTGCAGGTCTAATGATTTTTGGCTGAATACTGCACATTCTGTAAAGACTCTGGATTCTGTTGTCTTCCTCTGAAGACTGTTGGCTCTTCTTTTCGCAGCCATTCGATCACTGGACCTGTGTAGGCTTGTTTTCACGCTTTGTTGGTGTCGATCTGTGGAACGCCCGGTGTTTCCAAAGCCCCTCAACTTGGTAAGATTCAGCTTCAATCTGGTTCCCCTACGGCTCCTTGTGAGGCTCATCTTTAACTTTTCTTAGATGGGCCTGGAGTAAGTTGTAGTCTTTTCTCCTAAAAAGTAAGTAAGAAGGTCTCTCCACTCTGGCCAGGCCCACATGCCAGTGCTGCCCAGCACAGCTTGTCTTGCAGCATTTTTGTTCCCATCTCAATGCATGGCAACCCCCAAGGAGTCCTGCCCTTGCATGACCTCTTCCCCTGAGTGCAGGAGGGACCTGTGGCTTGCATCTAGCCAACAGACTATGGCCAAGGTGGTGAGCCATCACTCCCCCGACTGGCCTACGTTGGCAGACTGGAACAAGAGACTCCCTCCTGGCCTTGAAGAAGTAAGCCACCAGGTTGTGAGAAGGCCTGTGAGGGGTCACGTGTCAGGCTGCAGGCAGCCTTTGAGAGCTGAGGGTGGCCCCTAGCTGTCCACCAAGAAAGCAGGGACCTCTGTCCCATAGCCACAAGGAAACAGATCAGCCAACAGCCACATGACCTTAGAAGAGGACCCCAAGCCTCAGAAGAAACACTGACACCTTGTTTGCATGCTTTTGAAACCCGCACCTGGACCCCTGACCCTGTATGTTTTTAAGGCCACTAAATTTGTGGCAATTCGCTATGCAGTCATAGACAACTAGTGCACAGCCCACAGTGGCTGCTGTCTGGTAAGCCTCCAGTGGCCTCCCCTGACCCTCAGCCACAGACTGGAGGGGACCCCATATGAACTTCCAGGCCCCTGAGCAGCTCCCCACCCTTCAGCTGCCCAGGACTCCACCCCCAGCCGCTGGGCTCACCTGCACACCATGCTCTGCTGCAGCAGCGCGGCCAGAAGACTGTCCCCCGGGGCCGGCATGCGTGGGCCCACCAGAGCTCCCTCCCCGTCCACCTTACCCTCTCCCCACTGGAGCGGCTGCTGCCATCTTGGGTCCAGTGCCAGCGCTCTTTATGGAACAGGGATGGCCTGCTATTTGCCACTTCTCCACGGTTATCTGAAGGAATGTAAACTTACAGAAAAGTTGCTGGAGTCGTACCGAGGACACTGCCTCGTGCCCTCCGTCCGCACGCACCGCTTCTTCCTCTTTGCTCCCTTGCCTTCCCCATCCTCTTTCTCTGCGTGTGTCTGGTTATATTCTTTTTTCTGAACTGTTTGAGAAAAGGTTGCATAAATCATTGCCTTTACTCCTTACTGCTTCAGTGTATAATTCCAGTGGACACGGTACTTCTGCCTACAGTCCCTGTTCTGACCGCGTCAGCTGTCCCAACCAGACTTTCGCAGCTCTGTTGTTTCCCAATCCAGGGTCACATGTCGGTTTCACTCATCAAGCCTCTTAGTCTCCTTAATCTGAAACAGTTCCTCAGCCACTTGTGTCTTTTATGACACTGACATTTTTTAAGAGTGCAGGCCAGTTGTTTTGTAGGATGTCCCTCTATTTGGGTTTTCTGATGTTTCTGCATGAATCGGTTCACAGTTTATTTTTCTGGCAGAGATACCACCAGAGCAGTGTGTATCCTTCCTGATACATCAGACAGGCAGGTGCCAGGTGTCAGTTTATCCATTAGTGGTGATGTTATCCTTGACCACCCGTGAAGGTGTCCACAACTTTCTCTACAGTGAAGTTACTGCTTCCTCCTTTGTGATTATTAAGTAGCTAATGAGGATGTACTTTGGATTCTGTAAATATCCTGTTCCTCATGGGAACCCCTCCCTCATGTCAGCACGCATTGGTGATTCTTACCTAAATCAATCTTCACTGTGATGGTTGCGCTTTTTAAATCACTTATCTACCTATTTTTGTTTTCTGAATTATCACACAGAAAATTGACTTTTTGGAAGGTGTGCAGTTCTATGAATGTTAACACACGTATAGATTCCTGTAGGCACATCACTCAGGACACAGAATGTTCTGTCACCCTAACAGCCCCCTTCGGCTCTCCCTTTATACTCAGACCGTCCTCTCACCTGGCACCCGCCGGTCTGTTCTCCATCACTACGTCTTCTTGAGACTGCTGTGTAAATGCAGGCGTACAGTGTGTCACTTTTTGGGTCTGGCTGCTTTCACTCGGCGTGACGCCTCTGCAGCTCATCCAGGTAGTTGCATGCATCGGTGGTTCACTCCGTTTCATCGATGAATAACCTTCCACGTGTGCATGGACCACAGTTTGTGCATCTATTCATTGACCCACTCAGCGACATTTGGGTTGTTTCCAGTTTGGGTAAGTCTGAATAAAGCTGCCACAGACGTTTGTGTACAAGTGTTTGTGTGAACATAAGATGCCCAGGAGCGGCGTTGCCGGGTCGTATGGTGGCTGTGTGTTTAACTTTGTAAGAAACTTCCACACTGACCTCCGTGTATGAATGGGTGTGTAACGACATCTAATGGCTGAGGATAATGCAGGCCCTCCACGCGCTGACTGGCACATCATCCTTAGTGAAGTTTTGCTCAAGTCTTTTACCCTTTTCTAAAAAAACAGCTGCTTCATTGAGATATCATTTACGTCCCATAAAGTTCATCCACTTAAAGGATGTAGTGTAATGGGTTTTGGTATATTTAGAGTTATGCCACTGTCACCAAAATCTCATTTCGGAACGTTTCTTCACCCCAGAAAGAAACCTCACACCGTTTAATAGTCACTCTCACTCCTCCCTACCCCCAACCTCACCCTACGCTACGTCTAACCTATGTTCTGTCTCCATTGCGTATTCTGGACATTTCATATAAACGGAATCGCACTCTCTGTGACCATTTGTGACTGGCTTAGTGTGTTTTCAAGGTTCGTCAATGTTGTAGTATGTGTCAGCACTTCATTCCTTTTTTATTGCCACATAATACTCCATTGTCTAGTTATACCGCATTTCATCTATCATTCATCAGTTGATGGACATTTGGGTTGTTTCCACTTTTTAGCTCCTGTGAATGATGCTGCTATGAACATTCATGTCGGAGTTTTCTGTGTGGATTATGTTTTCATTTATCCTGCGTAGACATCTAGGAGTAAAATTGCTGGATCATGTGGCGACTGTATCTAACCTTTTAAGGAACTGCCAGACTGTTTGCCAAAACAGCTGCACCGTTTTACATTCCCAACAGCAGCGTAGGAGGGTTCCAGTTTCTCCACATCCTCACCAACGTTTGTTAGTGGTCTGTCTTTTTTTTTTTAAGATTTTATTTTTCCTTTTTCTCCCCAAAGCCTCCCGGTACATCGTTGTATATTTTTACTTGTGGGTCCCTCCAGTCGTGGCATGTGGGATGCTGCCTCAGCATAGCCTGATGAGTGGCACCATGTCATCGCCCAGGATTCGAATAGGCAAAACCCTGGGCAGCCAAAGTGGAGCGCGCGAACTTAACGACTCGGCCACTGGGCGGGCCCCTGGTCTGTCTTTTTCATTAGAGTTATTGTATGAGTGTGAAATAGTATCTCACTGTGGCTTTGATTTGCATTTCCCTAATAGCTAATGATGTTGGACATCTTTTCACGTGCTCATTAGCCATATGGATGTCCTCTTTGGAGAAATGTCTATTCAGATCCCTAGCCCTTTATTTTTTTGCTGAGGAAGATTCACCCTGAGCTAACATCTATGCCGATCTTCTTCTATTTGGTATGTGGGTCCGTGCCACAGCATGGCTGCCGATGAGTCATAAAGGTCCATACCCGGGAACCAAACCAGGCCACCAAAGTGGAGTGCACCAAACCTAACCACTAGGCCATGGGGCCGGCCCTCCAGCCCAATTTTTAATTGCGTTGTTTATTTTCTTAGTGTTGAACTTTGAGAGTTCTTTGTGTATTCTGGGTACAAGTCCTTGTCAGAGATTTGATCTGCAAATATTCTCTCCTTGTCTGAGATTTGTCTTTTTAGTCTCTTAACAGTGTCAGTCGTAGTATGAAGTTTTTAATTTTGGTGAAGTCCAACGTATCCATATTTTCCTTGTATGGATCATGGTTTGACATTGCCTATCCCCAGGTCACAAAGATTTTCTCCTATATTTTCTTCTAAAAGTTCAAAGTTTTACATTTCACATTTAGATTCATTATCCATTTTGAGTTAGTTTCTGTATAGTGTGTGAGGGCCAGGTTTCGTTTTTCTGGCGTATGGATGTTCAATTCTTCCAGTACCATTCATTGAAGAGATTTTACTTTCCCCATTGAATTGCTTTTGCAACTTTCTCAAAACACAATTGGACATGTGTACGGGGCTATTTATGGACCCTCTGTTTTGATACATCGATTTATATGTCTGTCTCTTCCCTGACTTGATTATTGAAGTTTTATAGCAATTGCTAAAATGAGGTAGTGTATGGAAAGAATAATCTCTTCAACCAATGGTGCTGTGATAACTGGACATCCAGATGCAGGAGAATGAAGTCAGACCCCTGCCTTATGCCATACACAAAAATTAACTCAAAGTGGATCCAAGGCCCAATAAAACTATAAAACTATTAGAAGAAAACATAGGTATAAATCTTCATGACCTTGGATTTGGCAATGAATTTTCGGATATGACATTAAAGACACAAGCAACAAAAGAAAAAATAGGTAAATTGGACTTCATCAAAAAGGATACTATCAAGAAAGTGAAAACACAATCTACAGAATGGGAGAGAATATTTACAAATCATATTGGATAATAGTCTAGTATCCAGAATACATAAAGAATTCATACAACTCAATAATAATAGGCAGATAACCCAGTTTAAAAATTGGCAAATGATATGCATAAATATTTATCCAAAGAAGATATACAAATGGTCAATAGGGACATGAAAAGATGATCAACATCATTAGTCATTATGTACCTAATAACAGACCATCAAAAAATAAGAAACAAAATTTACAGAATTGAAGGTAGAAATAGTTCTACAATAATAGTTGGTGACATCAATACCCTGCTCTCAATAATGGAACCAGCCAGATCTGACAGACTCGCACAGACACCCCACCCAACGACAGCAGCACACGCATTCTTCTCGAGAGCACATGGGGCATTTTCCAGGCTAGACCGTATGTTAGGTCACAAATTAAATCTCAATAGATTGTAAAGAGAACAGAAAAATAGAGAAAATTCATGAAACCAAAAGTTGGTTCTTTGAAAAGAGCAGCAAAATTGACCAATCTTTACCTAGAGAGACTAAGAAAAAAAGGAGAAAATACTCAAATTACTAAAATCAGAAATGAAAGTGGGGACATTACTACCTATTTTACAGAAATAAAAAGGATTATAAGAGAACTATGAGCAGCTACGAAAAATTGCATGCCCACAAATTGGATAACCTATATGAAATGGACAAATTCCTAGAAACACAAACCTACCAAGACTAAATCACAAAGAAAAGGACAATCTGAATAGATCTATAATTAGTAAGGAGATTGAATCAGTAATTAAAAATCTCCCAAAAATGAAAAGCCCTGGGCGGGATGGCTTCACCAGTGAATTATTCCATACATTTAAAGAACTACTCCCAATCTTTCTCAAACTTTCCCAAAATAATTGAAGAGGAGGGAACAATTCCTAACTCATTCTATGAGGTGAGCATAGTGATACCAAAAGCCAAACAATACCAAAGCCAAACAAAGACACTAAAAGAAAAAAAACCTACAGACCAATATCCCTTATCAACATTGATGCAAAAATCCTCGACAAAATACAGAAAACCAAACTCAGCAGCATATTAGAAGGATTATACACCATGATCAAGTGGAATTTATTCCTGAAATGTAAAGATGGTTTAACACACAAAAATCAATCAATGTGATACACTGCATTAATAGAATGAAGGAACAAAGCCCACATGATCATCTTAATTGATGTGGAAAAACCACTTGTCAAAATTCAACACCCTTTCATGATAAAAACACTCAACAAACTAGGATTAGAAGAAACTACCTCAACATAATAAAAGCCGTATATGAAAAAAACCCACAGCAACCATTATAGTCAATGGTCAAAGACTGAAAGCGTTTCCCCTAAGATCAAGAACAAGTCACGGATGCCGTCTTCACTGCTTCTGGTCATCACAGTACTAGAAGTTCCAGCCAGAGAAATTAGGCAAGAAAAAGAAAAGCATCCAAATTGGAAACAAAGAGTAAAATTATCTCTGTTTGCCGATAATATGATCTTATATGTAGAAAACCTTAAAGATTCTACACACAAACACACAAAAAACCCTATTAGAACTAATAAATAAATTCAGCAAAGTACCAGAGTACAAAGTCAATACACAAAAATCAGTTGCACTTCTATAAACAATGAACAACCTGAAAAAGAAATTTTACAGAAACAATTTCATTTCCATTAGCATCAAAAAGAATAAAATACTTATAAATTAACTTAACCAAGGAGGTGAGAGATTTGTACAATGAAAACCAAAAACATTGCTGAAAGAAATTAAACAAGACATAAATAAATGGAAATACATCCCATGTTCACAGATTGGAAGACCTTATATTGTTCAAATGTCAGTAGTACTCGAAGTGATCCACAGATTCAATGAAATCTGTCAAAATCCCAATGACGTTTTTTACTGAAGTAGAAAATATACATTTTAAAATTCACTTGGAATCTCAGGAGATCTTGAATATCCAAAACAATCTTGAAACAGAAGAACAAAGGTGGAGGACTCACACTTCCTGATTTCAAAGCTTACTACAAAGCTACAGCAATCTAAGCAACGTGATAATGACATAAAGACGAACAGGCAGACCAATGGAACGGAGCAGAGAGCTCAGAAACAAGCCTTTGCATACATGGTCAAGTGACTTTTGACAAGGGTGTCAAGACCGCTCAATGGGGAAAGAACTGTCTTTTCAACAAATGGTGCTGGGAAACTGGATGTCCACAGGCAAAAGAATGAAGTTGGACCCTTACCTCACACCACATACAAAAGTTAACTCAAGATAGATCAAGGATTTAAATGTAAGACCTAAGACTATAAAACTCTTAGAAG